GGAGAACAGGAGGAATTCAGGTTTGAGAAATGTTTAACTGTGTCCTGGCCTAAATTGAAACAAGACATTTCCATTATGTTTAAGCGGTTCCTTACAAAACCTCTTAAAATCTGTCAAATATTCATAAACGGAATTAGTTTAAAATTCTGTTGAGGATTAACTGAAATCCTATTCAGCCATTTATTGTTTAAAATTAAGCAATAAAGAAACTTACATTTGATAGATAAGGGATAAAACTCCATATATGGAGTTTTATTCAAAACCTACATCAGCCTAGAATAATTTCTTCTTTTTTTTCACTAACTGCAATTCTTACATTACCATGCTTCCTTACAAATGACATATTTTTTATAAAATTCATTTGTAGTTACCAGATATTAACGTTATTTCAAATCCCTCTCAAGCAGCGAAAGATTTTAACAAACGAAAATTGGATTTGAAAATAGAATGGAGGTACAGCTCAGCTTTTCATATGCTTTTAATGATTTTTCCTTACAGTAACACTGTTTTTTACGTCACTAAGGCTGAATAACTTGAAAGTGAAGACATTAAAGAAAGTTTGTGGTGTTGAAAAATTAAAATATCCTATTAATCATCTTAGCATTACGTAATGATAAAATTCAGGATTTTGCTTGAAATTTATAGAATATAATGGAAATGTATTGTAAAGTAATTCTTAAGATTATACTTACATTATCTGTTCCCAATTAAATTACAATATGCCTTAGATGTTTTATTTTTCTGCTCTGAGGGCTTTCAGTCAAATTTTAATAATGAATGAATGTGGATAGGAAGAAATGCTAGACGTAAAGAAGATAAAATAAGCTAAGTTATCATTTATTTAAACTATAGGAGAGGTTAATCAGATTCACTGATTATCATTTGTAAAATTTAATTCGGTTCTCAATAAAATTGTAAGGTTGTTCGAAATTTTTGTCTCCAAGATTTAGCTGCTTAAATATTGGTAAAGATTGTTACAAAGTTATTCTAAATCGGCAGCTTTTTATAAAAGTAATTTCATTTGAAGATTGTTTTCTGTAAATGTGAAATCTAGCTTCATAACATATGTGAGGAACAAAACAGTTAGTTAATAAAATATTCCTTTTGTTCAAATAAGTCAAATATACAAATTTGCATACTTTTACATAAAACTCACATGGACATATCCCACAAATTAAATTCATATTCGGATGACTTTTCAATACGTATAGATTACCGACTGAAGTTCTAGATACGTCGAACAAAATTAAAGAGTACTTATGCTGTTGTTGTCACCAGTCCCACTTGTCTGACAAACGTCATCAGAAGCCCACAACTTACATCGTAGCAAGGAGTCATATGCGCCTGTCGTTGTCAAAAGCCATGAGGACCATATTGGTGACAACCTAGCTTTAAAGCTCAGTTCCGCTCCCAATTTTGAAAGAGAGCACCCCTCGGGGGGGGGGGGAACAGGTGCGAGGGTCTCTCACTCCTCTCTCCCTACTGCCAAATTTTCAAGAGGACTTCAATCTCGCCGCATATTTAGAGTGATCCCATGCCGCAGAGACACTATACATTTACAAACAGCCATGCCTTCTCCGGGATTCAAACCTGGGACTTCCGGTACGGCAGTCAGCATCGCTACAAAGAGTAACTATAAAACAAGACTTGCGATTAAAGGATTCTGTATTGTGTAAAAGGGCATTTATGGAAATTTTGCCAGTTAAAGCACAGTTAAAGCTCTTCCCTAGGAGCACTTCCCTCCCCCAAAAAATTAGAGACTCTTTTTTTATTCCTTCTGAAGAAGAAGGACCTATAGCTGATCGCCCTCGAAATCATAGAATTTACCTCAGAATCTATGCCAAAATAAAGTTATGTTTTGACTAACTTTAAATTTTACATTGGTGTGTTTCTCCTCCGTTTTGAAGTGTTCTTATGCACAAAGAATTTTCTTTTCTAAAAATCCTGTCAAATAATACTGAATATTTGAACATTTAAAAATATACGTGTAAAATACATAATTTTTTGTAATCATGTTATGGTCTTTTTTAAAAATTAATTAGGATCTATACTTAAAAGATAGGTAGTTAATGAAATATCTTAGTATCCTTGTTCAAACCATTGCATCATATTTTTTCCCTTCCTGTTTCACATTAATAACTATTTTTTCAAATAATTTCCTTCGTTTTACCACAAAAAAATTTACGTCAACCACATCTTTTCGAAATAGTAAGAGAAAACCAGAAACAGGAAATATCAAAACTCTCGCCTTTCCGCTTTCTATGCTCACTTCCAGGGCAGATCTCAAGCAAAATTTTAGCTTCTAACATCCTGATGTTGATTCACACGCTATTTCAACGTGTTTCATGCTGCTTCAACGCCCATGCGAATGCGTTACAATATTTCAAAGTCAAGGAGGAGAAATGTTTTAGTGAAATGGCGCAAATATAAAACACCAGAAGAACAAATACTCGTATGATGTGACGTCATAGGAAGTAAATACAACAGACAGGATGTCTCCGCCAATAGGATGCGGCCTTGAGGATTTCGAAATAACCGGAAGTGACGATCAGAATACGCCTTTTTGTGAGGAATTCAGATTTATGGTGACTTAGCTTTTATTTAATTTTTGTAAAGAAAACTTGAATGAATAATAGTTTCATGCAAATGGCTGACAATTGTATTGGAATAATAATAGCATTAATTACTGGTAGATGCATGCCGGTTTCTGAGCGAATTTAAAGCTTAAAAAGAACTTTAAGCGAATTAATTACATTTCATTCGAGTTATTTTCGGAAAATGTAAATGTATGCTTTAATGCACAATGTATTCAAATCAGATATAGAAAATATTCAATATTGCAAACTTCAATCAATGCTTCTTGATATTCAAAATATTCATAGTAATAAGAGAATAAGATATTACCTTATTATTAATGTGAAATAGATGAAAATAATATTTCTGTATATGCATGTCTTTAATTAAAAGCGGTCGGTATAAGATCCCTGGGGATCAGAACCTGTCTAAGGCAGGAGCATACGGGGCAGTTGCCCTGGGCCCCCATATAAGAGGGGGCCCCCAAAATTGAATGTAAAGTTTATTATTATAAAAATTTAAATGCCTCTGTAAAATTCGGTTCTTCATTACTGAAGTCGTGAAGCAGAGGGGGGGACCCCAAAGAAGTCTTTGCCCCGGGCTCCAATTAGGCTAAGTCGAGCCCTGCTGAGGATCAATCACATTTTAAAGGGATCAGTGATGATCAAGGTGTCGATTGCCGAGTATGCACCGGCAACTGCTTGGCATAATGAAGATTCCATTGGTTAAAAGAAATTTTAATTAAACTGAACTAGAAAAAGAAGAAGAAAAAATCTGCAAGGTTTCAGATTTTAATTTACGTCCAAAGGGGCGTTTTTTTTAACGTTTTGTGTGTTACCTTTATTTATTAAATATCATGTTCTTTGCACTTAAACCATAAAATTCAGTTCAACAGCAATGTCTCAAAATAATTTTTAAAAGAGCATATCTTTAGAATTTCCGATACACATTTCCGCCGCACTGGATATAAAAAGGTCTTTATCCCCCGTAGAGTGCTGCCATTGCTCGCTTTTAAAACGTTGAGTTTGTTAATCAAAAATTCGTTAAAGTTTTACAAAATATATGAAATCGATAATAAAACAAATTCCAAATTTCAAATTTGGACTTTCAGATGCTCATATTCGCAGTAAGATTACGTCATTCAAATTTGGATGGCGCTAGGTACCGTTGTTTTGTCACAATGCGAGAAACATATCTACATTTATGCAGATTCTTCATTATTTAATTTCTTCGAATATAATACAGGGCGATAGTATCTGGCGGCAACGATTTGAAAAGTGATACGTCGTTTGTAGGGTTCCGACGCAAAATCGCAAAACGAAAACAATAGTCCTTCGGGGACAAAGTCCCTTTGGACTAATAATTAATTATTGATGCAAAGCTGTATCATGCAAAATCAATTTTCATTCAAAACACACGGGTGTGCTAAATTTCAAAACATAAAAGTCATTCGAGAGAATTATCCCAAATTAAAAATTGTTAGCCTTATTGACTTTTCCCTCTTAGCGGAAGAAGGTTTAATCAAGTCAACAATTTACTGTGGAAAGAAAGAAACAGGTTTAATATTTTTGAGGCAATTTACGAATTATGTAGTTTTATGCCAGATATTAAATAAACTACACCAATACACCGAGCGCAGCTATCCCATTCAGTAAAACTGAACTTTTGTGCAATTAGAATGCTAGGTTTTTGCGCCTGGAAACTTGTCTATAATTGTAAAATTGTAAATAATAACAAAAGAATATAATGAAACATTAATATAATAAAATAAACTATTTCTTCAAAACTGTTGTCCATATTCTTAGTCTAATTGTTATCTTAGTTATTTATGTGCGATTATTTATATTATGATTATATTGTATGGTATGCATTATAAAGAAAATGTAAGAGGGTCGATGAAGAATGCTGCTCTTTAAAAGGAATCGGTGGAAGAAAAAGACTAAGAAACATAAAACTCTCCATGTAATTGTCATTAGTACTATCTCAAAACTTAAATAACGAAATTAATTCCCTCAAACGTGCAAATTTTCTGTAAAACATTAATAGTTTCAAATAATGAATTTTTATCCAAAAGAAAATGCTGCGTTGGTTTATAAATATATTTGCGTGTGAAATTTTCTTTTAAACATTTATGAATAAATACCATATGTAAGGAAAAAAACATCATTCTTACACACATCAACGTAGAACTTATTTGAAAATACTGAAACTAAAGACTGAATATTTTTATCTGCTTTCTTTTACGAGATTTTCAATGTATGTAATTTTATTGTTTAATTTTAAAATATACCAACTTGTATTTAGAATGTAGCAAAATTCAAAGTTAATCTTAAACTTAATATTTTTAATCTTAATAAAACTGAATAATTTTTAATGAATGAATAATCTTAATCACAAATATAGCAAAACTTATTCTTTATTTTTAGGAAGTTTCTATGTATTTCAAAAGAATCTGACGAAGGCCAGTCTTCTGCAAGAAATATACTATTTTAGAGAACGGTTATTAACAGCGGCGTAGCAAGAACTTCTGCCATCGAAGGGATCTGTTTGCTGTTGTTTTTCTGCCAGCAAAATCGTCAACGACGCTCTAAAAATTTTCTCTAATACTCCAGTTGCTTTGGTTCTGCAAATAGTACAGTTAAAATTTCTTAAAAGTAAGATACCCATTTTTAGATGTTAGGTACTCCTTAATCGATCTGTATTTAGAGAAAGTTCTCTCATAAAAAGTAATACAATAGTAATGATGAAAACGTAGCAGTACCATTGTTATATTCTGAACTGCGAATTAGATTTATTAGATCTGGGAGTGGAGAAAACTACCGACCAGATGAATCCGTAAAGCAGATATTTTCGAAGGATATTAGAAAAGTACAGAGCAGTTGTTTTAGGGTATTGCAGACTTTCATTGGAGAGGGATGGAATTTTGAGCGGATTTATGAATAGATCCTTTTTGTCATTTGAAGCCAAGACGTTTAATTCAGTTAATAACCTAACTTTGGAAAGTATCTCAATGACGACGCAGTTTATTAAAAAATTTCTTTGCCAGGAAATCAAGAGTTGCCGAACTTGATTAAAGCGTTACTGGAGACTGACATACCTCACTACGTGGTGTGAAACACTGTACTAAAAATTAATTTCCATCCTAGTTTTGTTATGATCTATCGATTAAAAGCATCATAGTTTTTAATTTTTTCGCATACATATAGAATCTTTCAAATTGATTGTCCGACTAATTTCAAATTGATCCTTTGAAAGGTGATAAAGATCCCGAGTGTCCAAATTAAGAACTGCGTAAACTATGGTAGATTTTCAAATTCTATTAACTTTGGGAAGGTTAACGTTTTTAATAAAGCTATATAAGTTTGTATTGCTATATCCTCAACAGATATTAAAAACAGATGTCTAGATCTAAATTTTTTCACTGAAATCTGTATTTTTTTAATCAACAATTTCCTCCGCGTTTTTTACTATCAAAATAACACTGTTTTCAGTAATCCTCCAACGCATCGGGAGCCAAATGGATGAGACGACAGAACACTGGTAGTTTTGTGTTCTGATTTGATTTCGGTGATTGAAAAGGCTTGTTTCTGGTTTCCCTATGTGTGCATAAATATGAACCATTTATTCCGTAGATATAATATATAGGCATGCCTGAGGAAGATAGATATAAATATAATCATGTCTGAGGAAGGCATTTATCGGACGTAAGGAAATCTCAGATATTTCGTTAAAGAGCAGCCCCGCTATATTTTTAGCGTGCAGTGTAGTACTTGTTTTCTCGTCCAGGAGGTTCTCAGCCAGGAGGAATTGCACCCGAAGGAAATTTCACACTTTCAAGGAGAAGAAGGCAAGCTTTTTATTTAGCTATTAAGTATTTCGTTTTAGTTTATGAACATAAAAATACACTTTTGTTCTAAATAATAAATTCATAAAATATACACTTGTTCTTAAAAACTACTCTTGTTCACGATTTGGAATTTTTTAACATTCTCCATACTTTTTCTTAATTTATCAAACAAATTAAAATTAATTTAAATGTAAATAACTGTCTACCTATTTTTTTAGCTTTGGAAAGGAATGGTGGGAAATGATTGGCTAGCAATGATGAGACGTGGTGCATAGGGCAAGACAGTTGAGAATCACTTTCGTTAGTATATCTTCGCATAGGCGTAGGTGAGCCAAGATTTAACTTATCCTCTGAAGACTCATCAACAAGTAAAGGGGGCATTGTGATTAGGAAATGTATGAAAAGTTAGAGGAATCGGCATGTAAGTTCTACCAGCGATAACGATATCTGAAATGTTTTGCTTAAAAAAATGAATGTCTAAGCAAATTTTCTTTTTCTTTCGTCGTAAACAAAACGATGGCGCTGCATAGAATCGTACGCCGCAGACTTTACTTCAGCAAACCTCTCAGAATGGCTTTTTTTTTTAATTAAAGCTCTGAACTCCTTTCGACTCCAAACAAATTTCATTGTTTGTGAACAGGTTTTTTTCGTATCTGTGAAAATTAGTGAAAATTCGCAAAGTGGGAAGCGTCTGCATTTCACATAGTACATGCTTCGCTGCGTATGCTCTTAATGACTGAAAGTGTTGAAATACACATTCATAGCTCTATAAGACAATAAGATGAATCGAATCAGTACACAGTTTACCGGTTTGAATCAATATACTCGTATCATAGACAGTATCATAGCTAAAGAATCACAGCCCTAACTCCCCCCCCCCAAAAAAAAACACCTCTCATTTGCGGCAAAACCAGCGAAAACTTCATCGAGATAAACACAAGAAGTATTTTTTTCATTGTGAAAAATTACTTGTATGAATAAAAGTAAAGTGTATACCTCAACTCCATTATAATCCAGGTGTACCATCAAATAGCTAAAAGGAAAAATTGTTTTATTTTTCATCTGAAAGAAATAGATAATTTTTGGGACGAAAATAGCAGTTTTCAGTAACTACTGCTATCTTGGTTCTAAAATGTGTCTTGAAAACCGCATCTTAAAATGCGGTTTAAAAATGCGGTTTTGAGCGTGTCTTGAAAAATGACAGTTATAATGGAAAAAAGTTATTTTACTCGAAGGAAAGTGTTTAAGCTTAGCAGAAAAGGTTAACGTTAGGTTCATACATTAGATGTACGTATCTTTTAATATTTTTCGCGTACTTATGTTTATTGAATAGCTTTCTCAATTTCTTTTACGTTAAGTTCAGCACCAGTTTTAACTGTTGAGGTTTTGCTTTCTTTTTTCTCACTTATATCAATATTCTTTCCTCTTTTGGCTTAATTTTAATTGCACTGAATATTCTGCGTGTTTCATGCTTTGGTGCTTAAACTTTCTGCTTGTTTCATGCTTTGGTGCTTAAACTTTCTGCTTGTTTCATGCTTTGCTGCTGCCATGGTAAAAGTTCAAAATATCTTACACTTGATATTTATCATAACTACTTATTTTAGAAGAGGTAATCGAACAATTTTACCGTGTACCATTTTGCTATGGTAAAACGCAAAACATCTGCTTGTACGCAGACACGAAACTCTGATGATTATCTATAACTGCTAAACGTGTTAATTTAAAATAGAACATATTTCTGTTAATAGAGGGAATATTGCCCAAGGTCATTGATCGGATATGTATAGAATAAACATTGCGAAGTCAAAATGATACTGACACATATTTATACCAAATTATTACTAAAAAGCTTTAAGGATTTTTGTAATAATTTAATTCCTGTTTTCTCCTCTCGCCTGATATTATGAGTGGCAAAATCAGTTGTTTGATAAGCGTTTACTGGTACGGAAACTTATTTTATCAAACTAAATATAAGTTATATTGTACAAATGGAATTATTAAAATTTAGTTCATTGATAGTGCAGAAATTAGCATTCCTTCCAAAATAATTTAGAAGCATAGGACCTGAGTATTAGCTATAATTTATATATGTACTTGAAAATGTATATATTTAAATATAAGTACTGTTATGAAAATAGTTTATTTGCATTTACATCCTACAATATAAGTAAATACGGCTGTTTAAACAAGAATAGGAAATGCTCTTAGTCACTGGATTGTTTGATATGTATATTTAATAAATTTTTAAACTGCATCTTTTAGAGTAATTAACACCTCAATATAAATTCAATTTATTAGAAAATGTGAAACTTAGAACTTCGAGAGATGCTGATGTATTTTTCTTGTGCTGTGGCTCTCGGAAATTTTGCTGCTGTAGCAACAACGTTTTACATGGGACATAAATTCTCATAGCTTTCTTATGTTTCTGAAATGGGTGCACTTAAGAAACATTAGGACTGCGATCTTCAGAACTACACTGATACTGACATTCGAAACGCGCATCACAAAACCCAGGACTTTATGGAATGTTCATAGTAAAACGTCCTAGAATCGTCTTGTGTTGTAAAACAATTCAGCGATTACGGAAATCTAAGGAAATCTGTTAAAGGTTATCAACCATGAATGAAGATTTCTTGCGCTCTTCAAAAGGGCAAAAAGGAAATTCCAGATACATATAGAAAATACAACGAGAATGTTATGAACACACTCGCTGGATTGGATTGGATTATTTGAGTTACTGAAAGCATGTAATAGCTATCTGCCGAAGGAAAAGGATGCCCTTCTTGACGACTTTCCAAGTCCCTCTCTGAACCAGAGCAGGAATTTAAGGATGCAACTCACTGGATACACAACAAACTAAATAGGGATCCAACCTAAAAACGCCATCGAAAAATTAGCCGTCGACTTTAAAGCAGTAAACACCCTGATAACCCTGATAAAAGTCATCGTATAGAAAAGCTGATCTCCTAATACCTGGAACTACTTAGACATCCTTTTATTTTCAGTCAGAATTTTATCATTCATTTTCACCTATAAAGCGATGGTAAGAAATAGCGTATCTGACATTTATTACTAACCGCGAAAGGACACCATCAGAAAAACATCCATCCAAACATTGGGTGTCAAAATTAATAATGTTTCAGAAATCATGTTTCTTTGAAAACATTTTTTTGATGTTTAAAAAATGTCGAAGATAAGAATCCATTACTTAATAAAGGTTAACCCATTCTATGTTAAATACCGGGTATGGTGGTATGTAAAACTGTGTCCGAAATTTAACCTTGAGAGAAAACTCCATTATTTCTCAGTTTTAATATCCATTTTTGAATGACACTGTAATACAGAAAATGAAGATATACCACCAGAAACACATATTTCTTTAACAGGAATTCTGTACATACAAAATATTATCCATTACCGGATGTGACCAGTGAATAATATTTTAAAACCATTGAACACTGGTAGTTTCTATCTAGATTCTACTTTGAGGACTAACACAAAGGATGTCATAAGAAACGAGCAACGCCAGTAGAGTTGAATCTACTGGCAATGCCCACTAGCTATAAGTTATAATGTCTATAAATTCGTAACGGCACATGTGGAAAACATTGATTGAATTAAGGAAAAATTTATTCGTAGAACTGATATCGCCATTATAAAAATCGGAGCATTGTTTTAACATAAATTTCACTTTATGTATATTTCGGAACTAGATTTCCACTTTCAAATTAAATTCTCATGGCTATGAAATAATATTTCCGTTAAAAATACCTGCGTTCATCAATTTACCTCTTCGTGGGCGGTAGGTTTCAT